AGATCTCAAGTACCATGCGCCAACTCCACCAGCCACATTCCCCGAGTATCGATCGCAATCCGGACGCTTTCCTCGGTTGGCTATGGGAGACCGGACATGAACTGAGCAACCAGTAATTGCTGTAGTAACTGTTGTTCTATTCCCAGCGAGGCCATGTCCAACAAGCATCTGATGTGGACTTCAAATGCGAGAGGATGCGACGTGCCACCTTGAACCGCCGCATCGCCTCTTGGCGGTCGGTCGGGCTGTCCAACCCGGAGACCAACGCGAAAGCCCACTCCAACCTGACGAAGATTTTACGCGTCTCCCCCAGGACTGTCTTCGCTTCGCGCTTGAGGAGACTTCGCATGGTCACTAGCCTCATCCAGTCGGTCTTGACTCTAATCGACTGCCTCATCCACGAAGTCCTCCAAGGTCCTCATATCCCCTCGGCAAACGCCTCACGGCACCAATGTAAGGACCCGAGGTAACTGTTGGCTTGCAAAATATGGTCGTCTTTAAATTCTCCCATTCCTGTGAACCAGGCAGGGAAGCAATGGTATTTCACGGCTACAAGATTCCAGCTAAATAGTAATAGTAATAATATCCTTGTATCTGCTCAAGCGGCATTTTGTCTGGCGTCATGAGGAAACGTTATTTGCACTTGTTGCTGTTAAAACAGACATATTCAGTGTAAGCAGTTTTGTGCTTTCGTTAGTAACACTGAGTATGTATGCTTTAGCTCCATTTGCTGGACGTATGACGAAGTCTCCCTTATTTTGAAGTCCTGTAGTGTTTAGGAACATATGCTTCAGCTCCATAGTACACAGTCTATCTGAAATATTTAGCAACATAAACTTACTGGTACCACTGATGCTTTCGAGCACTTTGGTAGAAATCATGAAAGTGGAGTTCCATTATGCGGTGCCTGTACGTTGTCTTCTTTGGCTTCCCCACTAGATCAACATAATGCCTCTACTCTTCGTGCCGGCATTCGATCTAAGTAGCATGAATAGAATTCACTTGAGTTTTCGAACAAGGGGTCCGTAATTTATTCCAAATTCCTGGAAGATACTTGGAACCAATCGAGTAGTCATGAGTTCAGGTACATTTGGTAACAACCGATCGTTACCAAACCACACTAACCAAGTTACAAAACCACTATACCAACCGATTGTTAGCCAACCTCTCTGAACTCATGACTACTCATCGGTTTCAAGTAGCGTCGGTGCATGCGTCATATTGAATAGTGCAACTCTACTTCCACTTCGAGCTTACTCGTCAATAGCATGACACACAAAGTAACACCTGGACTATTCCTACTGTGATTGAAACACCTGATGTGGCATCACGAACTGTGACTGTAATGACAACATGCCTCAAGTCTCGGGTAACGCGGTTATCGCCCCTGTTCGTTATAATATCCCACTCCAGTTGTACACTGGTTCACCTGGTCTGACGGGGCTCATGTGTGGTGATCGTTCATCCACATGACTAACCTGTTTCGCCAAAAGCTTGCGACCTTATGGAGTAGATGCACGGGACATTTCATATTCTTTTTATGGAATAAATACAGAAATGCTGGTGTAGAGCGAAATACAGTCATTTATAGTAACAGGATGACAGCATAATACCAGGAATTTTTAAAAATTTTGGCCTTGTACCCTTTCTATTAGAAGCTCGCACGGTGGAACCCAGAAATATCATTAAGTATGGGAATACAATTTACGAAAATGAGAGTGGGACGAAGTCTCTCGAAAACTTTCATTACCGTACACTGAACTAATACGGGTGTTCATTAATGTTAGCATAAAATGAAAGTTGATGGATATAAGTGGAAAAAATAAGGCCTTAATCTTTAACTGAATTATAACATTTCGGTGAGATTCAGTGCGTTAATTAGGGGTCCTTGATCCCACTCTTAGAAATGCTGGCCTAGTACAACTCTAAGCTCTTTTTGATTTGATATTCAGTGGTTCATCTTTGCTCAACAAATTAACAGCATCCGAAGAACTTTGATTTTTGTATCGGTAATCCCAGTTTCAACTGAGAAAATAATCCCGGAGATCACATGAGAAGCAAAAGACGTTTAGGCGAACAAGTTTGTTTTCGGTGGTTCGCATCACGCCAATACACCAAAGAAAATAGGAATAAAACAAACACAAACTTCTTTTGAGCACATAAGTCGGGGTTATGCAGTCGAATAGCAATTGTCTCCGCTGTAGCTAATAGGCGACATTGAGCCACGTGATTTAATGGAGCGAGGTTGAGCAGCCATGAGAAGAGGCAGTTAGATTAACAGCCGTATATTCAAATTACTAACTTTGGTATCTTGTAGCTAGAGGTCATACCAGACAGCTCTGAAATAACGTGAGCTTAGAGCGGCTCAGCGATTAAATCTCCTGCTGCATATTATCCCTCGGGGTCGGAAGACCAACAGTCGTGCAACTGAGCCGAGCACGAACGCATCATCTGGAAATTCTTTGGTAACTTGAAAATTCATCGAAAACAGCACATGCAGACTACACATTGAATACAGTATCGGGAGAGCGCAGAGCGGCACCTCAAAGATTTTATATATCCATGAAACTTCAGTCCAACACAGGTTACCGTGGATTTAGCCTGGTCGGAAATGCGTTTCAGCTATCGAATGTCTGATGTGATAGTGTTATATATCCAAAGCGCGGAACTGGTACACCAGATCTTGGAAGAGTCACTGTAGAACGATCCCAGGCTTTGAATTACTGTCCAAATCTGTTCTCATGTCAAGCTGTGGACGCTTTGCAGTGCCTATGCGAACGTTGTAACCAACCGGTAATACAGATGGCGTGATGAATAGATGCAACTGAGTTCGGCAAGTGTCTCTTGAGTTATGAGGACAGGATGGTTTGAACAAAAGGGGCGACGTCGAGGATTTATAGTGGTTGGCGGCATCCGTTTCGTGATTTGGCTGTCACTGTGGCCAGCAACAGGAAGTCTGCGCATACAGAGGGACCATGGGTCGCTTGCACTGCACCACCCACAGCTCCAAGCACACAATCCATATCCAGTGTAAACCCGAAGGAATAAGACAGGGAGGCGTGTGGATGGAAGCCACGTTTCATCAACGGAGCCGGTCCACACTACTTCACAGGCAAACACAAGCATGCTGTATATGGGAATCAAGTGGAAACAAGGCGGTGGCTGGACCGTAGTCCGCTCCACACTGAGTGCATGAAACTACTCTTCGAACTTAGCACGACCACAAGGACCGTGCACCCAGTTGCCTTCAGCAACGACCAGCTACCTCCTGGAACCAGTATGGAAGAGGTAGTGGGTAATAGATACGTAGGCACCTTGTCAACATACACATCAACCGCAGCCACATCAGGGAAATCGAATAACAGCCAATCACTTGAAAGGACAATAGCAAATAAAATAAATCGAAGGATGCATACAGATACGGTGACATAGCTCTTCAATAATTGAGCATATGAAATAACTTGCTTACGAACAATTCTGCGATAAGTTCGAGACGTCGGACAATGTATTATAAAAAAATGCCACAAACTAGAAAATCTCGAAGTTAACTAAAGTAGTTTAAGAAACGTGTGTAAGCTAATAGAAGATACTCCGAATAAAGATTCATATGAGATAAGACAGCATTGGGACAATATAGCAAACCCACCATCTGAAATAAAGAGACTCAGCATGCAAGCTTGCGGTTAGTAAATCGAATGCAGCGTAGCACCAAAAGTGCGCCGGTTCGGCCTACGTTATCAGTAGGACTCCTCGTCGTTTCGGTGTTGGTCCCGAGTGGTCTCGCTCATGACTCACTAGACCTGCCTGACTCAGGCACTCGCGACCGCATGTGCCAAAGCACCATGCGTTCGATGTTGATGTAGTACAACCAATCGGTGCTTGCCGCTTCCGCACTTGCCGCTTCTTCTCTGCATGCATGAGGTTTTCCTCCCGCACTTCGGCAACTGCCTTCGTGATCAGATTCCGCCATGCACGCCGATCAACCGCTCTCGATTCCCATAACCTGCAATCAAGAATAGAACGTGAGAGGCTCACTTCGATCATGACCTGTTAAGGAAGCTCCGGTTTTCCCACATGCCGATTCCCTAAACTTAACGGACCATGTAATAGCTGCTTCGCTATCCGCGTCTACTCCATCCGCCACACATGACCGAGCCACCTCAGGTGTCTCAGCAAAAGTATGCAGTCCACTGCATACATTCCACTTCTGCGCAACACTTCCGTGTCCGCAACTCTGTCGCATCAACAAATGCGCAGAATCCGTCTCAGACAATGTTGTTGGAACCGCTCGAGGTATGTCACGTCTCACCGGTACGCCGTCAACGTTTCGCTACCGTATAAAAGTACGGACAGCACCGTGGATTTGTACATCATCAGCTTCGCACCGACGGTAAACCTATGAACGTCAAGGATAATAGGGATGCAAACAGGCAATAATACAGGAACTGAAGTTCTCCATCACAAGTTCAGCGGAGGGACATGCAGTCTACAGAATACTTTTAGGTAAGCAGGTACGGGACTGAGATATAGTGCACAATTGCATTGACGCAAGTCTAGCTACGGAGAATAGGACACGTAACTCAACCTGCCAAGCGACATCGCATTCTTGTAACGTCAGCATAACTCGATTAATTGGATACAACCCTAGATCCAACCTGTGTTGAGAAACTGACGTTTGTATCTGACATCATGTTCGTTACCCCCTGTATTGCTTACGAGATACCACCCCAGATTTTGCCATCCGTTTCTCCTTCATATTAGAACCATGAGGTAATGTCGGTAACTGGATGACGTTTACTATTTCTACCTAGCTATTCACCTCTGAGAACAGCGAACATACACCACTGGTCAAGGTTGCAAATGGTCTTTGAGGTTGCGGACCATAAGTATTTTGCAAATGTTTGTGGTTCAGAGCCTGATTGTCTTTTCTTTCTGTTTCTCACTGTCATGTAAAGTCATTCGGACCCTACGCGTACATTCGTCTCCATTTTTTACTGCAGCTAATAGTGTGCCTTGCGGCTGGAGTTCTTGTGTGGGCTGCAATAGCCTGCATCATGAGCTATCCTGTGATAAGTGCCACTTTGTTACTTCATCGTCAAGAAGGCCCGACACGATTGCTTTTGGCTCCGCTATCCATCACCGATTTGGACAAGAGCAGACGATATATCCCGTTTCATAAACCGAAATTCCTCGATGAACAAGGGTATAGCCAGGTACAAAGGAAAAGGAGAGAAGAGCTCCCGAGGTCCTCATCATTTGTGCAACGCCCGTTAAAGAAAGCAGCTTATGAAGATAGCGGCGCAACCCTGTCATGGCTGCCGGAAACATTGCACAGTCAAAGCTCCTCTCCCACTTTCGACCTGAATTCATTAGAAACAATAAATGCAGTTCCCCTCCCAGAGATACCCGAACCGCTAAGTTCCCCGACAGATGAGGAAAAAGGGGCTTGGCGCCTAGCTGACTTGGATACAAATATGTCGACAGGCGCAGTAGATGATGGCATGCACAAACTACAGTCTCTTGATCCCAGGAAGCTTGGACAAGAAGCCAATCGTCTAATTGGTGCTGCAGCAAAATTCTTCAGGTGCGCCCCAAATGCTGTCGACTTGTCCTATTACGGTGAGTTACACTGTCATTCCGAGAAACATACCCAGACCGGTGAGTAGTGCAGAGCTTTTACGACAGAAAACATGTGGCGAGACTATAGCTAGACGTCATCTACTCTTTTATTCCCTTGTAGCAGACGGTACGGCTCGTACTCTTAGGTACGAAAGTGGAGCCACAATTGACCTGAATGGCACCAGTTCTCTAAAACGGAAGTGGAACATCAAGACGAACGTATACTGCAGGCAAAAAAGCAATGTCTTACGAGTTTAGTGGGATGGTTAGGATGAGAATCGAGAATGGGGAAGTAAATATGGGAATAAAAGGAAAAGCGTTATTATAGATTCGCCACACTGTTCAGACGGAAGCGAAAGCAAAGAAGTTTACCTCGTTTGTTTGGGGATCTGCTGATGAGTGTACCGTTTGTTAAGCTTTGTCGTCCTAAATACAAGGTTATGTTTCTTAATGAAGGTGGCCTAGTGCAACTTCGGGGTATTTTTGACGTGGATAATATGGGATCCGCAATCCTGTAATTAGAGAGGACAATCTATGGCTGACTCGCATGAAGAGAAAAATAGTTTTGGCAACCTTCAAGCCGTCTACATAGCGCGGTCGATTTAAACAGGTAATACATAAGACGAAAACGAAGTTACCTTAGCTTTAGAGCCCAGATGCCAGTAGCTGATTTCGTACCTTTTGCTCCAGAGAAAAGAAGGCGAAACTTTGCGGACGATCGCCAGTTCATTTCTAGTATGGGAACTAAAAGTGGAGCAGGTGAAAAGCCACCAGTAGTGACCAACAAGAGACTATGCACCCATGGTGGCGGTAGAAGACAGCAGACTTGTTACATATGGGGCAGCTATAAGAAAACGCACGAGCGAATCATAAATAAATAAATAAATGGTTTATTCCAGAGTTCTTCGAGGCACACCAAATTAGGTATGATCAGAAATCTACAGTTTATTGTTCCACAAAAGGTATGTTGCCTTGTAGAAAATGTGATGCTCACAAAGTACACAGAAGGTACTGAAATTGCGGATACATTGGTCAGAAATAGAGTCGTTAGTGAGATGGCGAGAAACTGGGTTCAAGTATGTGCTTTAGACAACGGCAGTAAAAGCGTAATATATGGAGTGTTAACGAGAGGTATAGACAGGGAAGTGTCCTTTTAGTGTGCACATCAAAAGGATATTGAAATGTAGGGAAATGAGGATCCGGTTAAGTTGCCAGTGTGAATTTGTGGGTAGTGACTTTATGTAGTGGCGAATCACATCTGCCAGGGATGTGCTTAAGATGTAGTGATATTACCTCTGCCAACAGCGCCCTCAGCATTGAGTTTGCACGCTTCTAGCCTACGTCCATTGAAGAGAATTCTCACAGACATTTTTAGAGTTACGACATTATTGTTTTGAAAATAAGACTGCGACGCATCACGAATCAGTAACAAGAAGTTTTCGATCAACCCATCAAACCGGCTCAACTGTAGTGGCACATTATCGGCAAATAAGTCTACCCATATTATCGATGCATATTGGACAATCGACCTGACTACACTGCTATTCAAATTGTTTTGGATTAAAGGTAGATACTACTGCGCCGGGTATAAGTAGTGTGGTGGTGCAAGATGACACACCAACAGCGAGCCCTGCCAACTTCCCCAAAGTTGAAGATGACATCAGGATTACAGTTCCATGTGCACGAGGAGTGAACACAGAGGCAAGCACCATGGAAATCCATGGAAATCACGCAGATGAGTGGACGCCTCCAAAGTATGGACGAACACACCTAGTGTAAGCCACTTTAGCAATAAACAGGTTACAGCCTGCCCCTTGGGTTCTGACAAAATGATTTGTTTCAGGTGGCCAGTAGCACGCAAAAAGACGTATTTAGTGGTACCTGAGGGTCAGTGGCGTAAGCAAGGTCACTTCCGAACCAAACTCAGTTCCAATTCTGTTAGGAATTGTGAATAAGCTGACAGTCCAGCTGATCCCCATTCTCTATACTTTTTCATCTAACATCGGTTACTTCAAGAGCAATAGTCAGTGCGCTTCCAAAAGATGGAAGTTTGCTCGTTGTTTTGCGCAAGATACACTAAATATTTAAGTGAACAATCCATAGATATATATTTCGAAAAAGCATTTGTTTTGCACTGGTTGATCAAGATTTCCCATTTCTGGTATGCTCAGAAAATGTGCACAGGAAATTCGCAACACACCACAAGCTGGAAAATGCTAATTCCAAGGTTGTAAAGGCCTGGGATAATCTCATTATGATAATGTAACGGACGCATACAAAGCTAATTTGCTACCATTTCTCACTACAGTGGACTATTGACACGACAGTAGACTGTACAACATAGCGTTCCTTGACTAAAAAGGTAGCTCAGTTAAAGCGGGCGTAAACGCTGTAGCTGGAAGGCAGTCGTTGGACAAGCGGGGACAACACCATTCCACCCATTAAAGCTCACAACGGAGGTCTTCCATGGAGTAAGGTTATGGTCATGTTAGAACACACCTCGATATGACCGCGATTACCTCAGATTACTGCTTGCTTAACGGATACAATAATAGGAATGAGATCAGTATATCCAAAGTGGTTGTTTCTACCCACTAGATAAGTTAGATGACACTGACGCCTTCGCTTAAGACCTTTTTAATTCAGGCTACCCCGATAGTAGCAGTAGAGAAAATAGGAAGTGGTATTTTCCTCATTTTTCTGACTGTTTTAGGTCTGTACGATGAGAAGCGTCTACCAATTTGTCTGTCAGGGAATCGCGTCGATGAATTCACGAGAGAACTGGCAATCTGCAGTGGGATTGCGATGGTCGGAATTCTCATGGTTATCACTGGACACGTGAGTTTACTGGTACATTGGTGTCTGACGACACAAGGTCGCTAGTAATGTGAAATTATCTTCCTTTGTGCTACCGTACACCTGAGTTAATCAAACCACAATCTATCTTCAATTTGTTGCTTATTAATAAAGAAAACCAAGACGTCAATTACTCCCAACAGGTAAAACAGAATGACTTAAATAGAAGTTTAAAACAGTTAATCGAGGTATTCACTTACTGTTGTTTCGCTTCTGAACTAAAATAGTTTGCTGGTCCACTGATGTGATGTGAAAGTATAGTAGCGTTTCGTTGCTAGCTAGAAAGATGCGCGAGCATCCCCTCGAGTCGAACAGTCTGACCAGTGGGCCGTTTCCACTTGTCTGTCGACACAACACGCAAGCGCTCACCACTCAGGCTGGATCACTACTGATTGGCACGTAACCGAGATTGCTGCTTCCTCCATTCGATTTGAACAGCTGCTGATCTTGATGATCTCCAGCACCACAACAATGAACCATTCGGTCTCCTTTGGTAGTCCGACGCCAGCTTTTGCAAAGCCAGTTAATCCGTTAGTAAACATTTCATATACCTGCCTTCGTATAAACCAGAATTTTTTAATCTGGTTCCATCGGTATCTTATGTACTGTCTACTAAATGAGCCTTGAGAGTAACTCACAAGCAAAGAACATTTACATATCACCAGTAGAATAGTAGGTGCTTAACCAGTCCCGTAGGATGGTTGGGGTGGAAACTGCAAATCAAAAATGTATGCGTGTCATCTCTTTAAGCGTCTGCCGGTTTAGGTGCCTTCCGAAAAACGATAATGCGAAACAGACTAAATAGAAGCTTACAAAACAATATGGGCGGATACCAGCTATAGACAAGGTATTCTGTGAGAAAAATAAAAATAATTACGCTCACGCACGTGCCCCCTTCCTTTAGACCATGGGATGGGTAAATCCCGTATGAATGCATCATAAAAATAGACCACAGTAGCAAGCCTAGGTAACGGATTACTGGGACACAGAGGTATTATCTAGTTTTTTGAACATATTCAAAATACAGGAGGAAATGTGGGACCATCACACATTTGGAGCAACACAAGTCACCAGTAGGATACCAGCTGATCTGATGGCATCCCACCGGTGACTTGTCTTGGTCAATATGCGTGATGGTCCTACAGAAACAACTGAGTTTAAAGAAGAGTCCTAGGATTTGGAAACCCGATGAGAAACGTCATTCCGTCGACTTTCCATACAGCTGCATTGTTCACTCAGTTTCAGGCCGTTACCACCGAGCTTGGGGTTGCGGCCGAGTTTCAGCAAACGGAACAATGATGTATAACGGGTAAAAAAGCAATGCTTAACAAGGCCGTGCGAAGGAAAATATTAGGAGAAAAATTAATGATATTAAAAATTGTATTGCTGGACTCACGATTGTGTTCGCGTTGAATCATGCGCAAAAAAGCCGTTTCTAAGTGACAGAAATATAAATCCATAAATCCAATGGTTGGAATTTTGGAAATAAAACTTTGTTGTGCTTTGTGGCCCCATGGCTAATATTTGCCACAACAAGAAAAGAGAATTTGACAACGCTTCGTCAAGTCGTTTTTAACTTGCTTTAGAATGGGGCCGAAGAAAACAACGGTGGGAGAACGTTCCACAGCTGACACGCTCACAGTAAAATAAATTTCTACTGCCTTCCAGGCGGGTATACAGTATTATCACCTCTAAAGGATAGCCACTTAAGTTGGTGTTGTGGTTCAGTTCAAGCAGCAAGCGGCAAATGTGGTTTGTGTTCATTTGAATCTAGCAAACCCTCATGAGGTCAACACGCACGCGCCAATATCGACTGCTGTACATTCCTAGAAACTTCAATCTACGCTGATAGGGCGTATGGGAGAGATCCCTAACGTACTTGGTTGCCCTTTGTTAAAGAGTCTTGAGAGCAGCGAGATTTTGTTTCCGCCACGATTGAATGTCGTATTCCAACTGCGGTAGCACATAGGGTTTAAACATTTGTGAGAAAATTGAGGGGTTAAACTGACCAGACGCGCTACAAAGAAAGCTAAATTATTGCTTGTTGGAGATCGACGCTTTCTCCGTTTGTGTTAAGCATCCAGTATCGTTCTGCACCAATACACCTAAGTCACGCTTCTGATACGCCATCTGCAAGGTGTGGTCTTCAATTTTGTAAACGTTCGCCGGATGATGACTCACGTGGATCACCTTGCACGTAACTGTGTCCGACTGTAGGAGGTTCCTGGTTGATCACGCATGAGTGCAACCGGAGTCACCTTGGATGAGATCGTGATCCTCACTGTTACTAATCGCTCGTCACATCTTGTCATCATCAGAGAAAAGCAGGAAATTGGAGGGGGTAACTCTTGCCAGGTCGTTGATAAACACGCTGCATAAGCCGGGTCCCAGTACCGAACCCCATGGAATACCGCGTTCCACTTCAGCCGGGTTGGGGAGTGATCATCTGATGCGTACTTGAAGCTTCTGTTGGTGAAGGATGTTGGCAATCCAACCATGAACAGGATCTCTGATTCCATAGTTCAATGACCTGTGAAGTAAAATGCGGTGATGCAGGTGGTCGAATGCTTTGGAGCAGTTCAAATAGATGACGCCAAGTGTGTTCCGCCGTCAGTGATTTTGTCCAACTAGCTAGTGCCATGAGAAACTTGGTGGTGCGTAACCAGTGTTAATGGAAGCCATGCTGCTCCGGTGCCAAAATATCGTATTTTTCCAGGTAGTTCATTAGGGCATCCGCAATGACCGTTTCCAGCACTTTCGCAAGCACCGGCATGTGAGTCACTGGGCGATAGTTCACAGGGTCTGAATTGCTACCGCCTTGAAAAATTCGGATCATAAAGCCATGTTTCCACTTTGGGCGCACTTGCTATTCATCGAACTACCATTTGAAAAACTTTGACTGTGGCCTTGTTAGTTTGGTGGTCGTACCCTTCAATCTCTTCGAGCGGGTGTTGGCCCCCGGAGACCTATGATAGCGAAAGGAGAGCAACTTAGCACATGTACTGGGTTGAATATTAAATGTGTACACCCCGATTTCGGTAAAAGTGGATGCGGCTCTGTGACTGGTAGGGTCTATGAGTTCGAAAAGTTGGGTGAATTTAGTCGCTGGGTAGTGGAACAATGGTTTATGAAGGGTATAAAAGCGAGTGTTTGGCATCTCTAGGAGTATAGTAGGATGAAAACTGAAAAAAATACGTGTCAGTAAAATGGCGTGTGAGTTGCATGACTCAACAAGGGTTTTGGATTAGCACAAGTGCGAGTATTCCTTCCTGGATTGAATTAGTGGCATCTGTGTCCGGATTTGCCTGTCATGTGGCCTCCACGGGGACATCTGTAGGACGCTTGTGTCTACAAAGGGACCATCGGTGGCTTGCACTGCACCACCCACAGTTCCATTCACACACTCCATGTCCGGTGTAAACCCGAAGGAATAAGCGGGTGGCGGGCGGATGGGAATGACGTTACATCAACGGAGCCGGCTCACACTTCTTCAGCGAGCAGAACAGAAGCACTCGTGCCTGATTGGGAAATCATGCGCACCAGACGTGCACAGGGCGGTGGCTGGGCAGTAGCCCGTTCCACACAAGATGCATGGAACATGACTTTGAACCTAGCAGCGCCACGAAGGTATGCACAGCGTCGCCTCCAGCAACGACCAACTGTCTCCTGGAGCCAGTATAGACGAGGTGGTGGATAATAGACAGGTAGGCACCTTGTCAACGTTTATGTCCGGCGCAACCACACCGGGGAGCTCAATCAACATCTAACCCCACATCCGCCGACTGGATTATAAGGGTGTCATAATGCAGCCCACTGTTTGTTGTACACTAATGGCATCGTTCGATGTTCACAACTACATCACGTAGTGTAAGTGTGTGAGAGTATCGTCGAGGCGTTTTAGAAAGGGATAAACTGGGGGCATTAAATAGATGTGTCTGGAGGGCGTTCCAAGACTGTGACACTCGGCGGGAGAAAACGTTTCCTCGACCTTCCAGTGGGTTGTACTGAGTGATTAGCCTAAACTGATAAACCCTTGGTGATGTGTTTTGACTGAATTTCAAAAGAGAATGGTATTTTGGTTTGGGGTTTCTCAGCATCTGATACACCAGTATGAGATCGCCTCTTAGACGTCGATAAAGTTCGCTGTATATTCTGAAGTTTTTCAGTCTGATTGGATAAAGAAAGATGGACAAACCTCTGACGTTCTTTGTCGCCCTGTGTTGTGCAATATCGATCATGATGAGGTGGTGCCCCTGCCAGGGTTACCACGCTTTAATAGCGTATTCCGGGTGCGGCCTCACGTATGCGCCAAGCATTTTCGGAAATATTGAGGTGCCAAACTTCTCGAACGCTCTACGAAGAAGGCCGAAGTGCTTGTCTGCTTTCTTCTATACCTTTTCAGTCTGCCTCAAACAACTAAGGTCATTTTGAACAAGTACGCCAAAATCGTACTCATGAGACCGCTGGACCTAAGCGGTAGTTGTGAATAATCTGGTGCCGTCTACTGCGAACTTTGCACTTGGTGGCGTTGAAACGCAGCATGTTCTAGAAGGACCATGTGTACGCTTTGTTCAGGTCATTCTGTAACGCTGTGCGGTCCTTCACTGCAGCTAGATCATGCCATAACTTTAGATTATCCGCAAATAGAAGACAGTTGTAAGATAACACGCGCGCGAGATGATTTATGACGACTAGGAACAGGTGGGTCCGAGTACCGAGCCTTGAGGTACGCCCCACTGAACCTCAGTTGGTTCCGACAGGGTGCTGCCAACCCTCGCATTCAGGTGACATTGAACGCGAAAGTCTCCCATCCAGCCGAGAACTGTATCCTGGATTCCATATTACTGCAGTTTGTGCAGTGGAATGCGGGGGTCTAAACAGCCGATTGCCTTTGAGAAGTCCAGGTAGGGTGCATCCACCCATACATTTGCAACCACAGCTTCCGTCCAAGTTGCATGAGCTATCAACAAATTAGCAGTGTA